CTCATTTTGTTTTATAACTTCTTTGATGGCAGTCAGGTTTGCAAATTATCTCTGTCAGTTTCTAAACCAAACGAAACGAGGCAAAAGCAAATACCTATGCTTAACGACATGAACTCAAAGTTTCGAAATAAATCTCAGGCATTTACCTCCCTTTGGAACTAGATGCAAATGTGGCCCACAAGGACCACATAGGGACTGGTCGTTTATTATTTGTAAGAGAGGGCCGGCCATTTTCCTGGGGGGTCGTTTTCAAAATCTTGATTTATTTTGGAGGGTTCATTTTCAGTTGGGAGTGTTACGTATCTGGCAGGTCATTTTACTGCGCTTTTCACAAACATGTAAATTTCTGAAGTTCAAAAGCCAACTGACGATTGCATTTTTTTGCTGCCGTCAATCATCTTAACAAACCTCTAGGGAAACAAAACTTTACATCAACGGGTTCAAAAGGTCATGGTCTGTGATTTGTGATTGGTGGATTTCGATCCGTTTCGTGTGTTTTTGTGGGCGCTTTCCATTTAGTCAAAATTTCCGAAATTTCCGGTTCGGCGGTAAAAGGAAAACGTTGCGTCGGTTCGTCCCACTGGAAAATTCCCAGAAAAAGTGGAAAATCTAAAAAGGGAGGGCCCGTTTTCCCGGTTGGAATTTCCGAACGGAATGTAGTGTTCCATTTACGTTTCTCGTAGTTTGTACCAGTTCCAGGTCCACGGTCGGGCACCGCCACGTACCGGGGTTTACGAGTTACGACCAAATGGAACAACTTTTTACCAATCGGAAATTCCATTTTTGTTACCACCGAAATTTCCGGGTTTTTTTCCTAAATGGAAAGCGCCCTGTTTCAAGATTTGCTCCTTGTGATTGTAATTATGATTGACGGCAGTGAAAAACGCAATTGTGAAGGTGGCTTTTGAAATTTAGAGTTCACATGTTTGTGAAAAGCGCAGTAATAAATTTCATGAAAGTAGTACAAAGCAGTAACAAGCATGACTTGAAATTTTCACATAACAGCCATACATAGTGAACACCCATTCTTATAAACACATCTCAATAGATTTAGTACGTACTGAATTTTGGCACAATATAATAGCTAGATTATTGATTTGTAGTTTCAACTGGTTGTCGTTTCAACTGCAATCAGGTGGGGGGGGGGGGGGGGCCCTCCCAAAAAAAAGATGTTTTGGGGGGGTATTTCCAACACCCACCCCCCAACGCGGCGCCCCTTTAAAAACACCCCCTACAACACACTTCTCCACCACAACTCACACACACACCACACTCACCCCCCCCTCACAACAACACAAA